TTCTAAATAGTTACGAAAAATATTATCAAATGTAGGACATCAACAAATTACTTACCCTAAGCCTCCAGAAATTCTCGTTCCCTGCCAAAAGTAGCAATTATCCAGCTGCAGCAACTTTCTTTTTCATTGCGGATAATACCAACCTTGAAATGTCTAAATTTACCGCACTGGACAGTCCCCCATCGCGAACAAAGTATGGGGGGCAGAACAGAAATCAGAAATTCCTTTAACCACGTTCATTTTGGTAGCCCCCCAAACGCCGGCGCAACAAATTATTGCGTTTAAAAATAATTTCCTTTAAAAATAAACTTAATGAAACAGCGCGTGATGTGCAATTGACACGAAGAGCTGCGCTGTTGGGAACCCAGGCTTACGGAATGGATATGTACGTACCGGGGCAATGCAAACAATTTGCCCCACAGATTCCAACGGCTACTGGCTGCACGCACTGAATCCGAACCTGAAACTGAAACTAAAACTGAGTCTGAATCTGAATCTGGGGTTTGGAGCTTGAAACCCGGGGGATGGGTGAGTAAACCCATAATTATCCGTGAGTCCAGGCGTCGTGTCATGAGAAAAAACGTTTATGGCACGGCCAAAGCTCCAATTTGCCAAGCCGATTTCGCAGCTGCCGCTGGTGGGTCCCCTTCGGATCGGTGGGCATTATAATTAATCAAGAAATGTATGCACAGAAATCAAAAATAATCATCAATGCCTTCGCCCGGGGAGCGGTGAGAAAGTGTTGCAGTTGTTGAAAGCGATTGCCCAGAGTCAATTCCCGGTGATGACAGGCAGCTCAGAGCGTCAAGTGTCCGCCATTATCACCATCATCATCATCATCAGCAACATCCACATCCTCGGCATCGTGATAGCCCAAACAACAAGGCGCAACAATTTGGCATTACATGGAAATTGCACTCGATATTAGCTGAAAGGGAACCCATCACATCCAGCAACCCAGCAACCCGGCAACCCGAACCTGAATCCGATTCCAAAGATGGGTTGGCTTCGGTTTCGTTGGGCAGGTCCTCTTGTCTCGCACCATTTAATTAGATGCCGCGTCAACAAGGTGCTAAATGGGCTGCCATTATGCTGCTGCCAAAGAGTTGGGCCGCGTGGGCTGGACGGATGCAGCACACAGGGAGAAAATATGCCTAACAAATACCAATTGATCTTATAATAATCTCATTATAAGAGGACTTCCTGTAGATCCTTTCCAACTGGTTTTCATTTTCGTACAATTATAACTATTTTTATAATATTCTTAACTCCCTTTTATATTATCTTAATATATCATCTTAATTTGTAATTAACTTAAAGTAAAAAAAAATAATTTTGAGAATATTTTTTAGTGCTAGGCATATAAATAAATGTTATAAATAGATAATAAATAAATAAATAATTATAATAAATAACATAACATGTTATCTAAATCCTTTAGGTAAAAAAGGCACATTATCTTCCGTGATATGATCCGTAAACTGATTTTTAAGCAATCATCTAAAAATGAATCATATATTTGTCGGAATATTTATTTTAATATCTAACGCATTTCCAAGAGTTTTTCTTCCAGTTCACCGAGGCTGCTCCTGTTACCGAAAAAATGAAAGCTAACCGGGCTGCAACCAGCTGTCGGAGGAGCTGCCCCACCCGGGGGCATGCGTTGCTCTCCTTGTTCGATGTGCTCACCTCGTTGACTCGGCCGGCAGTCCAGCTGTCCAGTTGTCCGGCTGTCCGGCAGTGCTGATTATGCAGAGGTGATAATTGCAGTGTCCGGCGCGTCAAGATTTATTTTTTGAGCTTTAACGATGTGTTAAAATAAATTGCATATGTGCTCGGCGAGCGGCCGCTTGGCACTCTCTCTTCTCGCGCGGTTCTGGCAGCCCGTGAAAACCCACAAAACGTCGCGCCTGTGTACATAAAAATTTAATGGGCGCCTGCTGCATCTGCCGCGAAAAGTACATACCTATAGGTGGGGTATACCTATAGACCCACCCCACTTTATTTCGCACCACGATGTAATTGCGAGCGGGCTTATTAAAATATCAGGCAGTGCTGCGAGGGGGAGGAGGAGGCGTGCGCCCGCCCATAAATCGCATAAAGACTTTCTAAAAATCGCAGATTTATTGCCCCGTCAAGTTCAACTTTATATATTTTTTCGCTTTTTTTTGGTCAACTAACGGTCGTCGATGCGATCGTAATTCAATATCCCTCCCCGTCTAACCTCAAAAATGTCTGTCTGCCTTCCAGTGAATTCTGCCTCACCTCTTGCCCAAAAAATATTTCTGAATTTGCGGTAATCGGATCCGTTCGAGGATATCGTATGTATTTTTTCGACTTGCCTGTTGCGTTTTTCTGCCTAATCAGTCGTGAATAATTTGCAGCTACTGTGTACGCCCCGGGATTTTGGGTCGAGGACCTGAGGGGCACTCCTTCCGCTTGGCTAAAGCGTGTCTGCAACATATGGTTCCCTCCGACTCCCTGAAGCCTGTCTACAGCTGTAAAAAGTCTGGCTCTGGCTGCACTTTGCATTTCTCGTACACTTTTTTGCGCCTCCTGTTCTTTTTTCGGGTGTAGCACGTGCTTCAATGCACATGACACCGAATCAGAGTCGGATTTTCGGGACAGGAAGTGAAGGAGTCATCAGTTGAAGGGGCATCGAAGCTATGGTGTTTTAAAAACTACGGAAAAGATCTACTATTAAATATTTATTGATAACATAGGAATCAGTTTTGATTTTCGAACCTCTTAAGCCATCAAGAAAACAAAACCATACATTATCAAACATATTTCCAACTAAAGTACGGGTAAAATGAAGATTAAAATTTTTATAAAATCCGAATTGTTTTTCAGTATTTTTCATTTAAAAAGCCCCACTAGTAATCTTGTTTTTATTCACACAAGAGGAATCATCTCGGTGACCTCCCAATATTCTGCGGAACCTAAAGATGCGAATGAATGAAACATAGTAAAGAAAACCCCAAAGAGGAAGTGGGAATATCCACTGTCCAGGGTTTAACCAGAACCCAGTCACAATGTGCAGATTAGGCAAACCCATTGAGCACTCACAATGCTCCAAGCCGACCCGCTTTGTTTTAATCGCACTTTTCCTCGAAATTCGCAGCTTTGTCCATCATCAATCCGCTGCGAATGCCACCAACGAAGGTGGCCAGCTCCAAACTCGATGGCAGCTGCCAAGGATCGCGGCCAGGGACATCCGCCCGGCTCACTTCCCCAAAAAATTCGGCAAATCATGAAAGCTCCGGATTCTTAGAAATTAGCCAGCCTAGAAATTCTATCTAGTCAGAGGAGCCGAGGGCAGGCGAGCTCATTGATTTTCGTGGCGGCTTTTTGATCTTCGGCCGGCGCAGCGGATCGATGGATTGATATTGATGGACTGCCCAAGCTCATCGACAGCTGCTTCAGCTTCAGCTGGTTCGGCAAAGGTCTCAAATCGCGAAAAAGGTTTGAAAGCTTGCGCATGCGCCAAACGTTTGCTCAGCGATCTAATGATAATCCTCTTTCTGGGACAGTTGGCCAAAAACAGGGCTTTGCCTGGAACTGGATGCCAACTGCTAGTTGAGGGCGGGCCGAGTTCTTATAAGACTAAAACAAACACAAGTTCCACCAGCTGGCTAAGTCCTTGTCTTGATGGTCGTCTTATATTTGGACTTAGTTTATCACATTGAATACAGCTGTCGACGTTTTATTTAGAAGGCGATCATTGTAGGTGCAACGTTATGCAACGTTTTAAACCAACAGTGCCCAGGACGTCGCCTCGCTGATCAGGCAATGCCAGACTCCACCCTCGCTCCCGCCTAAAAGGGAACGCATGCGGAAGATGCGATCCTCAGCCAGCGGCAGCTCCGGAGCCTCCTTCGGAAACCTGGGTGTCGCCAGGGAGTTGTTCCAGCCAAGCTCATTCTCCTTCTGGAGGAGAGCGACGATGAGGATGGGGCGGTAGCCAACAAGATCCCCAGGAAGCCGGACGACGGCGGCACGGACTCGGACTCCACCGTCACCAGCCTGGCTGCGAGCAGTCTGCTGCAAAGGCTGTCGGATCAGGAGCAGCAGGTCTCACTGCTCCCAGACGAGGGCGCACTGCCCCAGGACGACCTCTTCTTTGAAGAGCAGCTGGACGCCATCATCGGAGACTCGGGATCCGACAAGGAGAGCCATCTTTCGTCCGCCCTGGCCCTGGTACACGTCCAGACTTGCTCCGCATGTGAGGTGTATTTCGTCCGTACGAATGGAAGTTCCCCTTCTGTCCGTACACGTCCGTACGGACAAGCGTCGACGTGCACCTGTCCACCTTGGCCAGGAGCGTTTCCACTGCAAGGTGTGCAACATATGGATCGCCGGCTTTAACAGCATGAAGGGGCACCAGGAAACGCTCCTGCACAAGAGGCGGCTTCAGGGCAACGTCGAACGAAAGGAGTCCCAGTGCATCTTGCGCAAGTACTCCAAGACGAGCAAGCAGGCCTTCGAAAGGCACCTCCAGAGTTCGCGCCACATCAGCCTGGCCACGGCGAAGAAGGAGCAGCTGCTGCTCGTCAGCCAGACCGGGAACCGCAGGTACCTGGGCAATAGCCAGAGGGACAAACAGGCGGCCGCCAACCTCCTGGAAGCCATTGACGATGTGACTCCAAAAGGACCGACCGATCTCAACCCAGTTCTGTAACTGTAGTTTTACATTAACGCAATACAATAAATGTACATTTTTCCGGTTTAAAATGCCGGTATTTATCGATTCCGGCTTATTTTCCGGTCAATTCCGATTTCCGGCTTCTCTGTATAGAGAAGACAGTGGCGCCCTCTCTATATTGTGTTTGAAAATGGAACTAACCAACTCAAAGTATCGATTGACTGATATCGATTAAACTATTGCGATCTCAACTGAAATTCAAATTTAACTTTGAGTGCTGACGGATTGTGTAAAATGATGTCTCTTGTGGTGGCCAATCAATATGCTGATCTAATAAAATTGGCAAACAAACATGTAAATGAAAATAGGTTTTTTCTCCGTTTATTTTATCAAATATCGATGGATTTCATTCAGTTTTTAAGTAAAAATTCTTTAAAATAACACTTTTTCGACGACCCGTTTTTTGTATTTTTAAAGCCTTTGCTGGGCCCGTTAAATCAGCATCAGCGTTTATAAATGCACACTTCTTAATCGGCTGTTTTTTTTATAAATCGTTTGATACATGATTCTTAGTCAATCACCTACCGACAAATTAATGCTAAAAAGTATAAAAATTTCCATAATAACCTAAAATTAAGCGGGATAAAATGAAAGGAGGCGAAGGAGGCTAGGGGGAAGAGGGTATTTAACAATGCTCGGATTTATACTCTAACTCTTGAGAGCTCTAAGCGGTAAAATAAATATCAATATGTTCTTTTGTGTTCCGCATTCGTTCATTTAGGACTTTAGTGTTTTTCCAGTCTGAGAGGCACTTCACAGCAGGCGTGCCAGCCAATCGGTGAGGGGATTCAGTTCCTGATCCTTGGCGGAGGCCTCCACGAACTGGATATTTTGTGCGATGTGTGAGAACTCAAAGTCGCGACCTGGCTTGCCCAGAGTGACGGGTTTGCTGGCATCGTCGTCGCCAACGGACTGCAGTTTGCGGCTCCTGGTATCGCGCACCGTGTGGATTTCCTTCTCCAGCAGGGTTTTGATGACCTGGGCGCTCTTGGCGGTGCTTTGATCCTGTTTGTTGCAGAGGACCAACACGGAGCAGGGCTGGGTGGCGCTATCTGATAGGATGGTGTACAGGAAGCTGGATAAACAAAGAGATTAGCAGGGTTTTCTAGTGATATAGGCTCAGTAAAACCCACTCTGCCACATCACGGATATCCTTTTGGGCCGTAACCGAGTCCACCACAAAGACTATGCCCTTGGCACGATGCTTATACAGCTCCAGGCACTTGTCCCGCACCCTGTAGTGGCCGGGAATGTCCACCAATCTCACGGATGAGCCTCCCGCCTGGTAGTCGCCCACATTCTCCTTGATCGAGGTAAAAGTGGCCGGGAATTTGCCATGTACGAGCTGCATGAAGATGGCACTCTTGCCGGATTCACTGAGACCAGCCAGCAGGAAGTCCTTGCGACCAGCCGAGCGTCTTCGCAGGATCACAAAGATGGCTGGAAGACAGGAAAGTTAATAAAGGGATTCCGGATTGCAGGTGAGACTCCCGGGGACCAGAGGCCATCACCACGTGGCGAACTCACCCACGGCGATGAAGCCCAGCAAAAGGGCCACCAGAATGGGGCCCGTGTCGATCTCGCCCAGCTTGATTTGCTTCCGCTCGCGGGCGTTTTCATTTAGTTTGTCCATTTTCGGCTAACAAAAACACCAAACAAATTGGATGGGGAAAATGACACGCACTCATATAGGCCGAGCGCCTTACAACACTACCCAAAGCGAGCAGTGTTGGAAAGCCCGCCAACACATACGCGCGCAATTCAAAAACTCTCCTGTGTGAAAATACATTTATTTTGATGTGTTTACATAGTTTACAAAAAAATTGGGCCTTTACATACAGACTTTAATGCGTGATGAAGCTTAGCAAACCATAACAAAGCACATAGTTTCGAGCGCCTTCTAACAGCTAAAACTAAATGGAGGGATTTCAACCAGACTGCGGATTCCATCACGCCCGCCGGTTCTTCAGCAGGCCGTAGATGAGGCGGAAGGTCAGGTTGCAGGAGAAGGCCCAGGCGGGCACGGAAATGGCATTGGCCACGCCGGTGGGAAAGCTGAGGAGCCCGGTGAAGGGGGCCAAGCTGATGGCCTCGTCGAGGATCATGACGGGCGTGCCGCGATTCCGGATGCTCACAATGACCGTGATCAGCGAGAGCAGCACCTTGGAGCCGTAGAACACGGCCGTGTCGATGCCCATCCGCATCAGGTTCTCCACTCCACGGGCGGATTTGAGTTTGGCCTCCGCCTCCGCCACTTTGCGCTCGGCGCGCATGATCTTGATGGTCCTGGCATACTCCCCCGAGTGCTCCGCATTGCGCACCACCTCCACCTGCTCCCGGGCGGCCTCCAGCTCCGTCTGCAGCTGCCGGATCTCCCCGGAATTCCTGGCGCCCCACAGCCGGGACACCTTGAGCTGCGGGTCAGAGATTCAACTTTAGCACCGGGTTCGGCTCCTGCTGCTGATACTCACGTAGTTCCTTATAAAGTCTGGCAGGATTGTGTTCAGCAGGCTGAGCAGCGCGATGAGGGCAAACAGCGTCATGGTTTTAAGTCAGTTTTGCGTCCAATTGGGTGGATTTTACAGCCAGTCTGTGGTTAATCGTGTTAATCTAAAAAAAAAACAGAAATGCGAGAGTGCTGGAAAACGAAGCGGGAAAGTCAGCTGATTTACTGCGCGCAGTGGTGTAGAAGGGGGTTTGGGTTCATTAGTTAGAAAATATTATTATTATTATTATTATAAAGTGTTCGAATATAATGTAAAATTTACAGACGAACTTAAACTTAGCTATAGCTACGGGGCCTTAAGCTAAAAAATTCACTTTTTCATTATTTTAAACAGGGTTGTCTACAAATTTACAACCTAAATTAAACTATCAATTACATAACAACCAATTTTTACTTCATTTCATTCTTACAATTCCTAGTTTTAAGCTTAATCTAAATTTCATTGATTTTTAAGATATTGTATTGTTTCTTTTATATTGGATGCGTTTGGATCAAATATTGTTTGTGTGGCTTTTGTGGAGGTAAAAAGTGACGATTGTAGGGTAAGTTAGAAAATAATTATAGCCATAAAAAGCATTTTTAAGAGAAAATTAATTTGTAGTAAATATTAATTTTTTATTATATATTTATTCTTTTATTAAATATATTTTATGCACTTAGAGATTATGCCTTTGTGAGAGAAAAGCGTCTTCAGGGTTTATTATCATTGTTATTTGTAACTTTTGTAGTAAGAACTAATACTAATTTGTTGTTATAATAAACCTTATTTTAGGCATAAAGCCATAAACCCCCCTTGAAATGTATATAGCTACGTCCATGGCTTTATATTCTTGACAAGTTGACAGCGCCAAATGGGCCAGTGTTGGGCAACGCCTTCAGCTCACAGCTGTGCCGGCAAAACAAAAACACATCTGCTCGAAGTTTCTTGAATATTCCACGGGTTTAGGGTTTAAGCCAGCTACCGATGAGCCACCACTACCATGGAGGACAGGAACGAAGAGGTGAGACTACGGACTGCAGAGATAACATAAATAACACCGGACTATCCATAGATTGAACCCTGCCGGAGCATCGGGCCGCACGAACTGGACGTGGTGAAGAGCCAGGCGGTGATCAAGTTGTCGCCCGTGCAGCTGCCCGCCCACTTCAAGCGGCTGGAGTGCAACACCAATTTAAACCTTCCCCCTCTCAACTGGCTGACCACCTCGCACAGCAGCCATGGATTGCACCAGGCCCTCTACCAGAGTGCCGGGTTCGCCAGCTTCCGACTGGGCCAGATGTTTCCCGACTGCGTGGGCGAGGTGGATGTGGTCAGCGATGCGGAGAACATCAAGCAGCTGCTGAAGCTGCCCTACAGCGCCCAGAGCGCCATCAGCATGGTGGTGCACAAGGTGGGCAACACCCTGCTCCTCGATGAGTTCGACATCCAGAAGTATCTGCTGAGAAAGGCCGACGACGACTGGAAGTGGCTGCGATCCTTCATCCTGGAGCACATCCTCACCTACGGCGACACGCAGCACAACTACTGCCTGAAGGAGCGTTCCCGCGAGGCGCTGCAAACGAAGAATCTGCTGTCCAAGTTCCTGTATCACAGTCTCAAGCAGACTGGCGATGAGTTGGACTACGATGTGGCCACCACGCCAAGTCAGTTGACCAGCCGGCGGCAGGGATTGCCCATCACGGGTCCAGTGCTCCCCGAACCCAAGATAGAGGAGAATGTGCCCGATCCCAAGTCCAGTCATGCCTTCAACAGGAACGTGGTCTGGACCTTTGAGGACATACGCATGCTGATAGGCACAGATATGCCCATTTTCGGAGGACCCAACAGGCCGTGCATCAGTCTGCGACTGAGGGATGCAGCGCAGCCCATAAACGTGCTCACTGGCATCGATTACTGGCTGGACAACCTCATGTGCAACGTGCCCGAGGTGGTGATGTGCTATCATCTGGACGGAATTGTCCAGAAGTACGAGATCATCAAGACTGAGGACCTGCCCTATCTGGAGAACTCGCAGTTCTCGCCGCAGGTTGTGCGCAACGTGGCCCAGAACATTCTGGCCTTTCTGAAAGCGAATGCCACTAAGGCGGGCCACACCTACTGGCTTTTTAAGGGACGCAACGACGACGTGGTCAAGCTGTACGATCTGACCACTTTGTGCCAAAGTCAGGCGGCCGAGAAGTCGGAGGATGATGCGCCCCAGCAGCAGGTTAACCCCTTCACCGTTCCGGTGGGAATGCTGCTCTATTCGGTGGCGCGAAACATGAAGAACTCGCTGCCGCACATCAGTCCCAAGGCAGCGGGCAACATTCGAGCGCTGCTGGACAACTGCATTAAGCTGCTGCCCAAGGAGCAGTATCCCCAGATCGTTAGTTCCTCGCACTACATACTTTCGGATCTACATGTGCCCGCCGGCATCGATCCCAAGGCGCCCAAGTTCGAGGAGGTGGACTCGGATGATCAGTCGCTGTACGACGACGATGAGGAGGAGGAGGACGAGGAGGACTATGAAGATGAACTCTTTGACTACCCGAGCGAGAAGAGCTACCAAAGCAGCGAACAGGGCGGCGGCAGGGCCAACGTTGCTGTGCGCCACATTTGCGATGCTCTAAGGGACTTTAAATCCCACGCCAAGAAGGCCAAGCCGGCTCCTCTCTTGGCCACAACTGCTGAGCGCTGTAGCATCTCCTTGGAGCACATCAGTGCTGGCCTCTCCTGCCTGCAGTACTTCAACGGCAGTCAGGAGGAGAAGCTCAAGGAGTCGGAAACTAATGCGAAAAAGGAAGAGAAGCGACGCATCCTGCATGAGGAGCAGAATCCCAATATGGCCAAGCCTTTCAGTGCCATCCCACTGCCCTATGAGCAGCTTAAGCTTAACCAACAGCCAGCGCAGCCAGTTGTAAAGAAACCAAGCTCCAAAGCCAAACGTAGCAAGTCCAAGGAGCTAGCCACCACGGCCAAGTCAAAGTCCGTGAATGCCAGCAATCGGCAGATGAGTGCCAAGTTCAACACGCAGCACTTTGGCTCCTGGAATGTGCACCTTAAGCTTCTGCTGCTGGAAAAGGCCTGCTTGACCTTCGCCACTCTAGCGGAGCACTACTATGAGTCCAGGAGCTATGGGTTTACTCTACGCTCCATTGAGCTGGCCTGTCGCTGCCAACAGGTGCTCAACAAGTACATGGCCAATGTGGTCTCCCAGCACAGTTGTTTGCTCGGTCGGGCAGGTGACTGCTTCTTCCAGATGTCCAAACACTGGGCGGCCATCGAGGAGTATGTGCAGCAGTACGAGGAGCAGGATGCATCGATCAGTGTCATTGGCGACGAGTTGGCGCAGGAATTAGAGGGCGAGGAAGAGGAACTTCCCTCCCTGGCACCGGCCAACAATGTGGAGCAGGTGATGCTGCACAGCTGTAAGTGCTACGAGCGGGCATTGGAACATGCCCAGAAAACGGAAAGCAATGAACTCCTTCGGCGACTGGGAAACGTGCGAAACGAACTGGGTCTAAAGTACATGTACTGGGCTCAAGGTAAGTAAAGCTATGTCTAACAAAAATCAATAAACTAATTATACTTTTTATTCCAGAGGAGTACAGCGAGTTGATGAAGAAAAAGGAGTCCACAAAAGCTTCTGGAGACTCCCAACCAGAAGACAGTCCAAGTGCGGACTCAGCCGAGCCACTTTATGTCAAACTTACAGTCAATTCTTACGATTGCCTTCGTAGAGGCATAGAAGCCTTCACTGCCGTAGAAGATAATGTCAACCTGGCCTTTCTTTACTGCAACATGGGTCGCTTTATGCGGCTGCGCGCCCATCTAACCATGCCGAATGAAAGGTAAGTAAATCGATATTATTCCTATTTAATATTTATTTAATGTGATAATCTGAAATTCCTTATTCAGTGCCATTACCCTGGAAAGCCAAAAGGCCTTTTACAGCGAGGCATTCAACTATTACGAGAAGGCCAAGGACTGCTTGGATACTCGTAAAGCGAACGCCGAACTGTGGGACCTTGTCCACTGGGAACTATCCACTGCCACTTTTACGTTAGCCAAACAACTGCAGGACTACAGTGCGGCAGACAAATCAAGCCTGGTTGACGCCTCCAAGGAAGTGCTGGAATTGCTACAGAAATCTTTGCGACTTTGCGATGTGGAGCACGCTGGGGCGCGCCAAGTTCTCTACAGTTTTCGATCGGGATTGATACACAAAAGGTACGATCAGAATACTGGCTTTCAAATAATCTATATAACTAAGTCATCTCTTACTATTCCAGGATTGCCTCCTTCCATTACTCGCAGCTACGTTCTCATGGCTGTTGTGATTTTTCTCAGCTGTCCAAGTCTACTCTGCAACTTTGCAAATATCACTACGAGAAGGCTACGCAAATACTAGAGGGCCTAAAGGAGGTGGGTGATCTGCTGACAGTGCAGCTAGAGCGGATTTCCCTGCACGAATTTTTGGCTGAACGTGAGTTTATACAGAGATAAAGATAAACAGCTATTATAACTTAAATTTCACCAATTTTCCGGCAGTTTCCACCCACACAGCTCAGAAGATCAAGCAAATGCAAGCGGCTTTGGACATTTGTTTACAGTGTCAGCTCATATTTGCCCACGTCATCGATACTAACAGTGGCCAGGTGGCCGATGACGAGTTCGCCGCCCATTTGACGCTCTTTGAGACCCGCTTGCAGAACGCTCTGAAGACGCTGACGAAGCTCACGCTCAGCGGCAAGGATCCCAAGCAACTGTCAAAGCTGTACAAGCGCATGTATATGGAAACCTTGACTGGGAAACATGGTCTAGGGGCCCAGCAATTGCCGACAGCTTGCTTAAAGCATTTGCACATGCTGCTCGCCCGGCTGCGGGCCATGTGCGATACCCAGCTGGCTCGCGAATAGCCGTACGTGTCTTCTGGTGGGTTTAACCCCACACAACTCACAACCCACAACAGTTCGAATTGTATGCATTGCTCTTCGCTTGTTTATTGATGTCTCATCTCAGCCCCGCCGCCCGCAGCCGCACTCATCGCTGTCCAAGTGATCGGATCCGATCTGCAGAGCAGCCATCACCAGCATCACGGCCAAGTTCAGGATCTGTAGATAGATTTGGACGTTAATGCAACCATCGCGATGAACTTAATCAGCACATCTCACCTTGCAGCGCAGACTACTCATTTTGTAAGCGTTTGGAGCCAGTTTTCTGAGCTGATCTTCGGCCGCTCGGCTCTTATAAAGTCTGAGGGCCCTGGCCCAAACGTGTCGTTTATCTAGATTGCACCCAGTTAAATATCTTGTTCAACAAGCTAGCTGTATCGGACTTGCGATGGATGTTCCGATCCATCAATCTGGGCTTTACATGCTGCGTATGCTGTTACTATTTAATATTTATCGTGTCGTTAGCTAGCTTCAGTTCCCAGTCTTATAATAATATTTTTACTTAATTCCTAAGAGCAAAGCAACTAGTTTAAAGACCAATAAAGCAATCTTAAAGAGAAAATGCATCCGGAGAAAGATCGTCTTCTGGCTGCTGGCTGCTGGGGCCCTGAGCCTGGCCCACATCTAAATAATTCACTATTCATTATTAAGCGTTTGCGCCCGCTCATAAGCCATTCACAATTTGTGTAGCGCCACTGGAATATTATTATTATTAAAAGCTTAGCGCGGCAATTTGAAAAGTCGAACGGTTAAGTGTTTATAATTTTATTGTAATTTTATCTCAATTTTTTTTGCTTTTGTATATAAATTCTACCAACGCAGCAGAAAGTTCAGGCCATTGCCTTGGCTTCAGTGTGTCACTGAAAAATCGGTGTCAAGCTCTTGGCACCGTGGGACAAACTGCATCGCATTGCGGCATAAACTATGTGGATCCGGAGCACGAAGAGTCATGGTGCTGGAATCTTACGTAATGCGGTCTCGTCTCCGGCAGACGATGGCGTAAGCACAGACGCCTGCTATCTGGACCGGGCCGAATTGAGAGCCAGCTTTTTGGCCACGTCTCCGGCGGCGTCTCCAGATTGCCGGACAAAGAGCCCCCCGGTGGCCTGGAGCAGCGTCTCCGGGAGCTCCGAGAGCCGAAACTTGCATCATATTCGTCACGTAAGCCTGGACTGGATCTGGTATAAAAACAAAACAGTGAGCCGGAATGAGACATTAGTTACCTTCGCATCGATCAACTAACCAACTCAGCCTCAGAATGATGAAGTTCATGGTGAGTCTTAATTTCTAATGGTGGTTCTATCTAAAATCCTTTAAGAATATTAAAATAAATGTAATAAAAATGAGTTTTTATTTGGAATATTTTAATACAATTATTTTCGTATGTTTCTTGTAAAACCAATACTAATTCATATTTTCCCTCGATCCCTTAGTGCATCTGCCTCTGCGCCATTGCCGCTGTTTCGGCGAACTCCTACGGACGTGCCCGCGCTGGATACGGTGGTGCACCAGTGGGTGGCTATGCCTACCAGGTGCAGCCCGCCCTGACCGTTAAGGCCATCGTTCCCTCGTATGGCGGTGGATATGGTGGACACCACGGTGGATATGGCGGTGGCTACGAGTCCGCTCCCCTGGCCTCGGCCTACAGCGGCGCCGATGTGGGATCTGGCTACTCCGGTTCCGGCTACGGTGGTGCTCCGCCAGTCGATGCCCAGGCCATTGCCCTGGCCAAGCTCGCCCTGGCTGCTCCCAGTGCCGGAGGTCCTCTGCTCTGGAAGGAGGCTCCCCGCTACGAACAGCCCGTCTACCCCCCCATCAGCTACGGACCCCAGGAGTACGGACGCAGCGAGAAGGTCAAGGGCGGTTCGGCAGCGGCTGCCGCCAGTTCCGTGGCCGCCGGAAAGAAGGGTTACAAGAGGCCCAGCTACTGAGCGGGTAAACCATGAACAGTGAACCAGAAACTATTGAATAATACTAAGGAACTAGGCCATGATAATAAAAGGCAAAACATCGAGACTTAAATTTTGAGTGTATTATTCTTGCTGGGGCTTAAACTTTTGGTCAAGAGCTTCGCTCTGCATATCTTAGCTGAATTGGCACTGAATTTTGGTTTTAGCTGTGCCATATGATACGATACTTTGAGCCAGCAGAAATTTATTGGTCTGCTAAAGAGCCAAATGAAGTTTTAATGAAAAATGGGCAAGTCGATTGAAGTGGAAATTTAAATCTTTAAATTACTACTTTAGAACCATTATACAATTTTCATTTATAAAATTAAATTAATTAAATCAAATTTAAAAGTACCTAAAGTAAATTGTTGGCCTTAAGTTTTAGCAATCATTAAATATAAGTTAGAAAATCAAACTTAGTAAAATGTAATAATTAAATAATAATTTTCTTAATAAGTTGGAAAATTTTAAAAAATAATTTGTAGGCCTGGTAAAGTACTTTCAATGTAAAACCGGCTAAAACCGGTTCTTGAAGAATTCGCTCCAATTCTATCAATTTTCCGGGCACAACCGCCCTGTAAGCCATTACCCCCAAGAATGTGAAAAACAGAAAGTTAGTTACAACAAATTTTGGAGTATATTTCAAATAGACGCGTTCGTAAGTCCCAATTGAGAGAGTCGCGTGTTTGTGGTTCCAGTATCAAGACCCAAACTCGACTCAAGTAGAATGGCACATCGCGTAACCAGGCGATTTTATAATGGCCCCGACAACAAGTATATGGCAGTACATAAATCAAATGTGAGTATATTCCAGACCGGGGCAATTATGAAATGCGGTTTCTGGACTGAAACAGAGCGATTTGTGTATATAGGTCACGTAAAAATCCAGGCTAAATTTCGCCTATAAAAGCGGGGCTTTCTGGTCGGTAAATCATAGTTTGATTGATTACCCCAAAGCAACAAAACTAAGCCACTCACCATGAAGTACCTGGTAAGTTGTGCAAACCCTCGATCAGGAAGTGGCAGCCAGCTAATCCTCGGGATTTCCCTTCCTTTCTACCCTTAGATCGTCTGTGTTACCCTCGCCCTGTTCGCCTACATCAACGCCAGCCCAGTGTACGGCAACCGAGGAGGATATGGTGGCGGCTATGGTGGCATCCAGCGCGTCGTCTACGAGGAGGTGCCTTCCTACGGACGCAGCCACGGTGGCTACGACAGCTATCCCCGCAGCCTGCGATCGGAGGGCAATGGAGGCAGTGCCGCCGCTGCCGCCGCCGCCTCCGCCGCTGCCGTGAATCCCGGCAGCTACCGCCAGTTCGCCGTTCCCTCCTGGGAGATCGACGGTGGCCGCGGCCATGAGTACGGACACGGTGGCTACGGACGCGGCTACTAATTTCCGCTCCCTCCCGCCAGCGAATCGAACTATCGACTCCTTGTTCAAATCCTCGAGTGGCTGTCACAGCGAAACTCTGAGAATCGGCTAATAAAAACGATCTGAACGCAATGGAAAATATCGAACAAAAATCCATATTGTCTTTTTTATTGTGACATACTTTTTAGCGCAGTTCTGGGTGAAGACTGTGTGGTGGGGAAATATAGTTCCCGACACAAGCTGAGCTTTGGGGTCCGACTGTTGAAATATATGGTTTAAACGGATTGTTGTTTTTAATAATTCAACTATTGAATTTACCGAAATTTTTACAAAGTCTATCACTTAACCCCAAGTTATTTATCCATCTTATAACAAAAAAAAATAATTACTTAAGTATTTTAAACTATTTTTAAAGTGATATGCTAAAATTAAACAGAGTTTTTTCCCTCTATTTTTTAGATATAGTTATAACCTCTCTTTAGGTATACTTCTTAAAAAATAGTACTTTTTCTAAATAGAGATACAACTTTCTTGAGTGGCACGTTGGCTTTACCCCCTGATTCATCATTATCCCCCTAATCCGTCTGCGTTCACTCACGCACCCATAAACCTCCATTTTCGGTCCATCTGCATCTGCCACCCCCAACGAAGGTCGACCGCCGAATGTCGGCGATACGAGCTGCTCAAGCCGAAACGAACTGAGCGTCGAGCCCCGATATCTGGCTAGGAAAAGCTAGAAATCCGCAGAAAGTTCCCCAACCGAGCGGGCCAAGAAGAGCCAACCAGCTCTTGAGCCGTGATAAATTTCTGGGCGAGATCACGTTTCGAGTGCAAGAATAATTTTTGCTTATATAAAGAAGTGTGCTTCGCCGTTTAATATGTTAATTCTGCCAACTGTGCCAAAACCCCGACATCATAGCCATGAACAAGTTTGCTGTAAGTATTGATGGGTGTCCCTGAAGAGTGTTTCTGGTTTTCAATTGTTCGAATCAAGGCTAATTTGGAATATTCCTGATTTTCCAGTCTTTCGCAGTCATCTTCTGCGCCTGCATCGTGGGCAGCTGCTACGCCAACTACGGTGGCCAGGAGAGCTACGGACCCCGCGGAGGCTCCTATGGCCAGGATGGCTCCGCCGCCTCGGCTGCCAGCTCGGCAGCTGCCGCCGGAAGCGAGGGCCAGCAGCGCTATGAGCGCCCCGTGGAGATCATTGCCGGAGGACCGCGTGGCGGCTATGGCCCCGAGATCCTGCGTCCCATCCAGATAAGCGCCGGAGGATATGGCGGCGAGCGTCGTGGCTACAACCATGGTGGCAACTACCGTCGTGGTGGCTACGGACCCCGCTGGACCGTCCAGCCCGCCGGAGCCACGCTCCTCTATCCTGGCCAGAACAACTACCGCGCCTACGTTTCGCCCCCGGAATACAGCAAGGTGGTGCTGCCCATCCGCGCCGGCGCCCCAGTGGCCAAGCTCTTCGTCCCCGAGAACCAGTATGGCAGCCAGTACGGCAGCCAGTACGGTGCCCACCGCAGCAGCGGCTACTAGGCGCATGCTTGATCCCCAGATCCCAGCCAACCGGGCGGATACTTGATCTCAGCCTGATAGTCTGTACATAATAAAAACCACAAAGGAAAATCATAATTATATTTTCGATATATTCTTTTGGTTGCTTAAGGTCTTCAGGGGATTACTTGTATCTATGAGAAAACCAATTTTCGGCGTTCTGTCGCTGAAATGCAGCTGCAGCAGCTGTTGCAGCAGTGGGTGGAGAAATATTATTATTATTCATTTGATTGCAGCCCCTCGCCGGGAATGTGTTTGAGTGGCTTGGCGGAAACGTGCTCCGGATTTGCTTGCTCCGGCTCACTCGCAAATCACTCGGTACCGCGCTTCCCAGAACCATAAACATTCAATTATTTATTGTGTCAGTCAGTCAATAATCTTGTGGCTAGAAAGCGCCACAGTTGAGTTCGCCGATTGCCGCGCTTTTATTTTCTGGCTGGTAAGCAAACCCAACTGCTTAGTTGTTTGGGGCCGAGCTCTTGGCCAAGATCTTCAATGCTGCTGGCCATCGCTTGACATTCGAGTCGAGCGGTGAATCACGGCAAGAATTCTTGGTTCGAGTGCGGCACAATTCATGGGAAAAGTTCTCGCTAAAAATTGGCATCGTGTGTAGCGGCATTTTGAAGAAAAACATTTTGATGTCTTATAGATGCATGAAAGTTGTTTGATTTTTTAGACAATTAAAATGTTTGTTTAACATAATTTACTGATTAATAATATGGAATCTTATTTTAATTATTTAATCTGGTAATAAGCCAATGGTGATATTGTTCCACAAAGACTAGAATATACGAAAAAACTATTTCTATTTTTTTAAATTATTATAATCAAGTTTTATATAAAATAACTATTTTTAATCAAAGGCTTCCTAATTAAAAGAACTTATTTCATTAAAATTAAATTTTATTTCGTTTAAATATTTTGAATCGCAAAGTATTTGTAAAGTGTTTAAGACTAAAGTTCTGTTTAAAGATTTCAGCAAAGATTTCCATTTTAAGAAGATTTTTGTTACGATAAGTAAGAAATGATTTTTAGATGTGAATGTAAAATTATACTTTATGGGTAAAATAAAGATCTTATTGGTAAAATTATTCCGCATAATCCTGAAAATAGCAATGAAGCGTTGAGATCATGATTCATAAGTTTTTGGAAACCTGCGTTAACAGAGGTACCGAATGAACTTGCAGGTTCCGGTTCATGTTCATTGATCACTGGCCCAACCTTAACCCCAGTTGGCCCGATTTCCGATGCGTGCATGGGCCGGATCGCAGTGGAGTACGGCCAAAGCCCCGATACCGCACACACCAGAAGCGAACGGAGCGTGCCGAGCAGGGGGAAGTCGCTATCAATGGAGCAGCTTCTCGGGGTTCCCGCAATTTGGCGCGCAATTTCAATGAGCATAGAAATTGGAGACGATCCCGGGGGCCTTATCGCCCTGGGAAAGAGGCGGAGGGGTTGGAGATGCTGCCAGTGGCGGCCCCCCGAAAGTGACTGGTCATCGAGCGGGTTTGGTCACGTCTGGTGAGCTCACAAATCGCGGAGCAGCTCAAATGGTGTTGCTATAAAAGCAATTTGGACACACGCTCCGGTTAATTAGTTTTCGAAACACCACCGTTCCTCGCACCACCACCGAAAAAAAAAAGAATGTCCGTTACCCTGCGACTCGTTTGCCTGATGGCCTGCTGCGTTGCCCTGGCCGTGGCGAATCGCCCCCACTACGGCGGATCCGGATACGGTTCCAACTACGGAGATGTGGTCAAGGCCGCCGAGACCGCCGAGGCCCAGGCTTCCGCCCTGACCAACGCCGCCGGTGCCGCTGCCTCCGCCGCCAAGTTGGACGGAGCCGATTGGTATGCCCTCAACCGATATGGTTGGGAGCAGGGCAGGCCGCTCCTGGCCAAGCCCTACGGTCCTCTGGACAAGCTCTACGCCGCCGCCCTGCCACCGCGCTCTTTCGTGGCCGAAATCGATCCAGGTGGGTTTTTACCTAATCATTTGGGGGCTTAACTTGGATTTTAATGGGTTTTTAACATTAAAATCGAAAATAACTTAATAATTAACCAGTTGATCCAAGTATCCATACTTTAAGTGATCCATACTTATTATATTTTTATTTATTTATCTACTTTCCAGTCTTCAAGAAGAGCCACTATGGCGGAGCTTACGGCGAGAAGGCGATTCTGAACACGGAATCCAAATTGGGTGTTGTGGCCATCTAAGAGCTTGGATTGTGTAGCTCCAAAAGTGTTAATAAATAGTGATAGCTTAAAGCGAAATATATGGTGGAAAATTTATTTGATGGGTTGGGAAGCTTGGGTTGTAGTGGAAAATATAATGATATTTCAATTAACTGATTGAAGATTTAAGATAGGTAACATCCAAGGGTTATATCATCTTCAAGACTAAAACAACCCCGCAGTTCATAATTCCCTGTTAAGCCGCTTTCTCCCCTTTAGTAAAATCGATTTCGCCTTATAATTTCTTATTTGTTATTATTATAGAATAGAATTTCGTTTTATTGCAAGATACAAAGTAAAAAAATGTGAAATTTGCTCAGTTTTGTTGATGTTGATTTAATGTAAAAATTCAAATTCGTTACGAGCACACAGAAATTTACCTACTAAACATAAAGTGAACTAAAAACAAATAGTAGAAGCGGTTGTAACTCGGTTAACTCGATGCTGCAGTGGCGTGCTTAGTGGGATCTTGGTGACGATTATCATTTCCATTTCGTGTTTCATGTATGGTATTATTTTCATGGGGCCTGGGCTCCATCCGACGTTATTGTTCAGCCAACTCTCGTGGTTCTCTCTTCTCTACGTACAAGTATTATATATCGCATGTGGTATATATCTCTATCGCTAGCAAAACTCTGCCAAGTTTTCGTTGATTTGTTTTTATTTTGTTTTTTAGGTTTTCAGGTTCATTATTTTAATTAAATTACATGAACTTCAAAATAGTATTATTATTATATAGATAGGATGTGTAGTGTTATGTATTTATAGTGTGTAGCCTATACGAACTCCCCCGCCGAAGTCCACTGGTTGTTCTCGATGGCATCCCCGGCGTTGGGGTTGACAAAAAAATTTAAATTATAAAAACTTTCTCACGCAATTCTCGTTCTGTTCCGGCACTCTGAACCCCCCATTCGCCTGATCTTCTTCGGTTTTTCTTCCGGGGTGCGTTCGGTGGTTCGGTTCGCGTTTGACAATGAAATGATATCGGTGCGGTGCTGGGCCCTCCCTATTCGGTGATCGTCCTTGTGGTCTCCTGGATGTACACCTGGGAGCCGGGCACCGTCGAGGTGGTCACGAATGTGCGGTGCTTGGCGCGGATGATGTTCAGGCTGGACTCGGCGGTATCGGCACGGTCCTCGGCGGCCTCCAGCTCGCGCTGGAAGCGGCGCACCCGGGTGGTGGACTGCTGGGAAACGCCCTCCTGCTCGGACAGCTGGCGGCGGTAGATGTTGATCTTGGCAGTGGACTTGTCCAGCGCGTCCTGCAGCAGGATGAGGTTCTTCTGGTCCTCCTCGCACTGCACGATCACCTCCTTGACGGTGCGCTCCTTCTTGCGCAGAATCTTGATGGTCTCGGCGTGGCGGCGCTTCTCCTCCTCCAGCTCCAGCTCCAAGTCACGGATGCGGGCCTCCAGCTTGCTGATGATGCGCTTGCTGCCGGCGACGGCGTTCAGCTCGACCTCCTCCAAGCGGATGGACAAGTTCTGGGGAAGGGATTATGGATTGGGATTAGATGGTAGTCTTCAATAGATAGTACTACTTTAAATTTTATCTCTCCGAAATGGAACTTAAAATCAGTAGCTCTACTGGTTTGGGGTCTGGATTAATTCTCAAAAATAGTTTGTATATCAGAAATCATTAGGAACTAAAAATCATATATTGCTCTTATTAACTTAAGTAACGAATGAATTTTATAATTACTATAAATATTATAAAAAATATTTTGTTTCCAGAAAATAAATCTTAAAATATGATTTTTGAGGCACACCCATCTATAATGATCCAATGATATTTTCCTTTCAAAAAAATTCCGAAAAATCCTTAGTTAGTATCTAGTACATCACCCACCTTGACTTCGACTTCCAAGGACTTCTTGATGGTCTCCAGCTTAACGATGCGCTCCTGCTCCTCGTGCACCTGCTCGATGACGTGCTTGAGCTCCACCGACACCTTCTGGTAGCGCTCGTCGCTGATGCGCAGCTCCTTGGACACCTCCTCGTAGTCGGAGGCGACGACGGAGAGCTCCTGCTCCAGCTTGGACTTGATGGAGACCAGGTTGACATTGACGGTGGTCAGCTCGTTGATGCGCGAAGCGGCCTCCTCGTACTGCAGCTCCACGGTGCGCTTGGCACGGTTGGCGCTGTCCAGGTGGGAGCGGACCTCCTCCAGCTCGCCATTCAGACCGGCCAGACGGCGCTGGGCGACGGCATACTGGTCCAAGGTGGCCTGCAGCTGGCGCTGAACGTCCTCGTAGTGGGCCTGCAGCTCGGTCAGCTGCAGCGACTGCTTCTTGATCACCTTCTGCAGATCGATGTTGGTCTTGTTGGCCACATCCAGGGACATCTCCAGCTCGGTGATCTGGATCTGCAGCTTCTTCTTGATGCGGGTCACCTCGGTCTTCAGCCGGGTCTCCGCCTCGATGACGCGGGCATTGAGCTGCTCGATCTCGATGGAGGTCTGCTTGCTAGGGGTTGCAGATTGATTGATTGGAGTTAGAGATGATTTCCCAAATATTAGGGTTATTGATATATCAAGAAGTAGCCCCCCGCAAAAAGAGCACCAGTTTACCTTCGTTGTTTCGCTTTGCTGGCTCTATTTTTGGCCCCAATGTCTGACCCACAATTTGCACCACAATTTTCGCACCACTCAGCAGCGGCACTCAACCACTCAACTCAGGTGCTCTGGCATTGTCAAAAACGCTTCATTGTTTCGCTGGCCGCTGCATTCGCGAATTTCTGTGTATTTTTACGCATGATAAAGACATCGAACTTGTCACAAATAGCTTGGGTTTACATGCCAAAGTATTTGGCGAGAAGTTCCTTCTCCCCCCTTCCCCTGCAGAATTTTATTTTGTTTTTGGGGTAAGTGCATCATGCGTCTATTCTTGGGCGTAGGTGCTTTCGTCTTGCGACGATGCCAACTAAATTTGAGTAGTGCTTGTCTTTCTGATACTCTACCTGATTCACTTTCTAATTTGATTCTGACAACAGGTACCTTAGGTTGTAATTACTAATTAATGAACTATGACTACTGAGTGCTATTTAAGTGCGAGTGCTATAAAACTAGGGTAATTATAATAGTACTATTTCTATAGGTAACTCAATATAGCAATTGAAAAAATTACTATTTAAAATCAAATCCATCATTGTCTTCCAGTAATATATTTTATATTTCCCAATTTTTCTTTTGGAGAACTGGAATTAGAACATCAAAAACCATTATCAGGTCATTATACTGCCCAGTTATATCATACAAAAAAATATTAAAAAGAAGCAACCTTCATCAGCCAGAATTTCCTAATTCCGATGATCTTTTTGTTTAGTTGAGTACTATGCTTTCTTATAAAAGCCCCTGTGTTGGTTACTTAATCTTAAAATCGTGTGTGTGCTCATCGCTGTCGCCTTGCCAAGGTATTTGGTGTGCACGGGCGTCTTAGCTAGAAAACTTAAGTATTCCCATTTAGATTTTAATTTTTCCCTGCCATTGTTTTCAATGTTTACGCAAAAATATTTGCTGGGTCTTATGTTGTTCTTTTTTCGCCGCCACTTCTTGTGATTGTTTTTGCTGTCATGCGCATCAGTTTTCTTCGGATGAAAATAAAATAAATCTCGAACTTGAAGGACAAACCCCAAACAATAGTTGTTCGGACCATCTACGCGCAAATCAAACAGACAGCCTCGAAATGCCTGAGGTGCGGGTGCGAAATATGATAGGTTCGGGTAAAACGTCGATATTTCAAGGGAAAGTGAAGAGTAAATTAGGTGTACGATTGACTTGACTTTTAGCTTTTATATTTAAGGAAAGAAAAGTTCATTTTTTCGAATCAATGTCCAAGAAAAATACCAGTTTTAAAAGAAGAATATTTCCTCATTGCTTACACCTAATTAATCGTAAATTATTTCTTCTTAGAAACCCCGGACAAATTTAATAATTAATAGTCGAATTGCTGGCGATCTTCTGCAATTAGCCGTTGTCAAATATGCTGCGCATAATTCTGCATAAATAATTCACAGAAGACTGCCCAACAGACACAATAACGAGAAGCGGCCAACATAGTGGAGCAAAACAAGACCGCGATTCGCGAAAACTCTTGAAACGAAAATACATTTTGTGCCAGACGAGGAACGACAAACAGACAATTAGAAATGGCAAATTGGTGGGTTGGAGGAGGAGGTTCTAGGATGCGCAGACAAAAAATTGAGCTGCAATTCAAAAATGTTCGCATTTATTCAAATTCCCCGGATGGTGGCTACACAGAGAAACAGATCGATCCACTTGAAATTAACACATTTTTGTGGTTTTCTGAGAAGGGACCTTTAAAAATGTTTAAGATATATATCTTTAAATATTTTAAAAAACTTTTTGGTGAAATGAGAAGTTATATATTTGATTTTCAAAAGGATTTTCTATCTCTTTAATCTGTATAGTCATTAAAAGTTCACCTTTTGATATCTAAATTGTATAATTTGATACTTTTAAAAACCAAAAGGTAATCGTTTTTGGATCGTCAAAAAATAATCTAATTTATCGAATGAAGATGAGAACGAAAAGGGCGGAAAAGAAGGGTCAAAAGGAGGGGCTTTGGAATAAGGGATCAAAAGGGGGCTGAGGACCTAGTGCTTCCAGTACACATAGCTATAGTCCTTGAGCTTGGGATGGGTGCGCAGGACCTTGCGACAGATCCAGCACTTATCCTCTATACCGCACCTGCTGTCCGCGTAGAACTCGACCGTCCGCTGATTGAGGGTCGACAGCTGGCGCTTCACGTTGTGCAGCGACGAGGAGACGCGGTGGTCCAGCTTGTCCACCAGCCGGTCGTCCATCAGCTCGATGTGGAGCGCATGGGCGCGCAGCTGGCCATCCAAGGGGGAGGAGGATCGCGAACGGCCCGCACGCGAAACGGCGCGACTCGAACGGACCAGGGTTTGCGAAATGTAGTCCTCCTCCTCCTTCTTGGCCGTCTTGATGTTCCTCTCCGACTCAGAGAGCAGCGCCTGGGCGATGGCACTGGCGGACTTGCCGCGAATCGAGCGCTTAAAG